AAAAGTCTTTTACTTTTTGCATAGCAGCCATGAAGTATCTTTTTTTTGCAACTAGCCAAACGAAATGCGTAAATCAACAACGAGGAGTTGGACCTGAAGGACTCTAGTCAGTTTGGGACGAAGGGATGACTTCCCCAGCAAACCGAAAGAGAATAACAAAACGACCGTTTTTGCTGATGCAGGGAGGATTAATAGAAAATACTGAGTTTCCAGGGATAATTGTATAAAATATATACGCACGAGCGTGGTGCGAATACATAGCTCAAATTCGCTACCAGTCCGGCTAAAAATCGCTGAATGTAATGAAGTTGATGATTTAATATTACACATTAGGCCATTGCCAAATAATAAAAAGTTCAAATGTAGTCATTTTCTTCCTGTTGCATGTTTTTTTCCAAAATAGACGATTTTATGAGTACTAGACGATTGCAGTAAAAATGGTATATCAATTATGGGCTGGCAAAGTCGGGAAAATTTGTAGACTTTGAAAGGTTTTGGGTATTTGTATATTTCGGTCGAGATTAATAAGCTCGCATCCGCACTTAAAGCTATGATCTATCCTAAAAATATAGCTCATTCCGTTATTGTAGACTGAAAATAATGAAGTTCGTTACTCAATTACAATTTCATGTTGAGACAGATGTGATCGATATCCTTTTGATTTTATCAATTGTGTTTGGGGGGGTTCAGGCTTCACTGCAGTGATCAGGAGTGGCGTTTAAATTCTCGAATATGTGTATAATTTATAATGAGAAGACACTGATGCTTAGATCGAAAATTCCAACTAATAACAATAATTTGAATATCAAACGCGTATGTAATCTTTTTTACCTTACGCTAAAAATTTTCTGAATGTCACGCAATGTCAGCTTGAGACTGAGCCCTTCAGTTTCAAATAATCCTCGCTTTTACGGTGAGCCACGTGAGCTGCAACAGGAACTAAAATTCGCCAAAACTGGCGAAAACCTGGCATAACACGCAAATACGTAGGCTTCGTCACGCATCATGCTTCAGCGTTTACACTGAATCTTCCGGAACTACCTGGCTTAATTCAGGTTTACTCTGCAGATGAGTTGCCACATTTTGACCGGTAGCTACTCGCTTAATGTTTGAGTTCGATTGAGTGCCCAAGTGCGAACTTGCAAGAACTGACCAATCAGCCTTGCGTCGGCAGTAAGTCGTTGCCTGATTCGCCGAAGCGGCTGACCAATAGGGCCTTTGAAGAGCGTGATAGAACTGCTCACCGGCTTGGGCCAGGAGCCTGTCGTTAAATGAGCATTGCTCAATCATTATCCCATTAGGCCAGCATCGTCACTGACGTCGTAGGGCTTTACGTCTGCTAAAATATCCTTTTCTAAACGTGGAAGTAACAACGCCCTGCTTACATAGACTGCAATATTGCATGGCAAATACCTATGGGCGAGGGTGAACTGAAGGAACCGATTAAACGTCAACCATCTGGCATCAGTCAACTCTTTTCCCGAATTCGACGCAAGTACTGTTCGGGAGCATGCCTAAAAGTTGTCTACCTCGCCTGTGCCACTCTAGTTTCAGCCAGTCTCATCATTGAATGCATTCTGGCCAATCTGGTGATCAAGCCCTACATGTCAGAGTCGGCATTTGAATCTGGCGTCTGCTTCCTCTACCTGACTCAGACAGGTCGGCGGGTCAAGTGCGAAAACAAGTGTTCAAAAGATCGTTCCGCTTTTCCCTGCGCTGTGGTTCAGGTGCTCTTTCTACCGGTAAAAACGGAGGAATCGCAGATCCCGCGCGTGATTACTGCGCTAAAAAACCGCTGGCCGCATGCTGTGCATATGCTCAGACTGGAGGAGGCAAGAATACTCTTCCTCTACGATTACATCAGCACGTACACGTCCTACAGAGGAGATCGGGTATGTTTTCAGCAAAAAAACATAGTAAACATTTTCGTTATTTGTCTTCGTCTTTATCATACATTGGAGATATAAGTCAATGCAGGAAAAAAGGCCAAAAATATCAATTCTGAAAAGAATCCTGAAAGTATGCGTGGGAGCATCAGAGACATCTAAAAGTTCTTAACTTCCTCCGATAAATAAGGATATTTTAAGACTAAGTAGACTAGGGAAAAATCAAGTCTATCCTTTGTTTATAGACGTCAATCTCATTAATTAAAAAAGTTTTCCGTTTAAGGGGGAATGCCCATATAGATTAAGCGAATTAGAATTGCCCATTCTGACTCGTTTTCCATTAAGACCTAATTATTTAAAAATCATGGACAGGAATGCTCTGCACTCTAAATTTCATAGCAGGTTGACAAGAACTATTCAATTCCCTATGCATCCTATCCAGAATAGTTCAATTTGAAGCTCCAACCAGAACTGATCAGTTACACCATTTCGTGTAACGTACAATGAACGGAATTATTTTCTCGCAAAATGCCAATCGAAGTCCTAAAATATGTCTTTTATCCGATCAAATTACTAAAGTAGTTTCATGTTATTTATTTTCGTACAGCCTCATCTCAAAAAACCGGATTTTGAACGAGATTCTTTCCTGTGGCCTGCAAAATTATACCACATAAATATTGGCCAGTCAGTTAGCATGCATTTTCTCTTTGAATTTCCACGTCTTTATAAATTTAATTGTATTTTATAGAAAAGCTGCAAAATATTGCTTCTTGTTTTCATTTGGGTAGATGATTATGCCTTCTTCAAGTGTTACACCTGGGCAAAGGTTATCTTTCGGTTTAAAAGTTTGCTAATTTTGCCTATAAGCTATACAAGGTGATCCACATCCAATGAAAAAGCTTATGAAAAGTATATGACCTCTCCCTCAAAGCCTGGCAAAATGCTTGATTTTCTTTAGGCAGAGGGTGTACACCGTGCATTTTAGAAACCTTGAAAACATGTGTGATAGCGGGTAGGTTCAAAACCACTCGATAATTCATTAAGGTTTTAAAAAAACAAAAGATATCCCCTGTTTAATCATAAAGTTTTGAAGAAAATATTATTTGGTACCAAAAGCATTCAATGGAAACTATTTTTGTAATCTTTTCTGTAAAATAAATTCTTATTTAAAATGGCATGGAAGATTAATATGGGGGGCATGCATGCTTATTAAGTAACCATTTTTACAAAATGTGCATTTTGCAGACGGCCTGAGAGAAGCCGGTTCGAAATCCGGCATCCTGATGGGACTGAAGTATCAGGTTGCACGACCATTAAACCTAACAACGTAATTTTATCAAATGGCAAATAAATTTCAGAAACACTCCATATACGTGAGGAGGTTGAATGGTCGGGTTGGGTTAGCGTTCAGTGATCTGTCTTTTCCGTGGAGCAGAATACAAAAACTTTATATTAAGTTTCTTGGTTAAGCATAGGGGAAGTTTATCTAGCAAGGCAGTTTTGTTGTGGCGCATGTTGGTGTGCGTTTCGGCCACACCGCCTGCGCCCTCCCCCTAGGCTTCTCGACTTTTGTCTCGATACCGGGTTCCGGTATGGGAGTGGTAAGGGAGTGGGGTCAATTCTCCGAATGTCTAATTTCACTATAATCCCGCGGGAGTGATCGTCTTGCTTTAGCTCGCTGAGGCTCGTGGTGGACATCGTCAAGAGCAACGGTCGAACTGTCGTTTGTTTTAGCATAGCGTACCGCCTGGTAATCACACAGTGGCGGTCAAGAAGTAATCCGTAAACGTTATTTCATAAGACAAGCAAAACTAATACTTTCTTCTGTCTTATTTGCTGGTTAAACCACTGAATGCGACTGCCCACGTAACCGCCTTTTCTTTCAAAGTATACTGAACCACCCTACTGAATATATTTTGCGTACCCAACGGTCTAGGCGTAAAGACTTGTATCAGATTATAATGCACGGTAATGTTCACTAAAATGTTTTCCAAACACGCTTATAAGCAAAAATGTGTGTTTTAATCGGGGGAAAGCATGGAAGAATCAAACCGAATAAATAAGTAATAGACTATATGTACGACGTTGACTACTACGGTAGACAATGCGGATGTCTTTGGCTGTCTTTTTAGGACAATTTTGAATGGCCTGTTTGCCAATAAATACAATCTACTGTTTCCAGTGACGTAAGCAAATTGTCACCCTTTTAAATAGACAGCAAAAACGAACACGTGACAGTCCTAGTGTGCCCCAGTTGCCTGTCTACATTTCCTAGTGCGTGAAAGCAAAATTTGACAGATGAACCCGATTACAGGCTACGCATTTATGCTCTTTAACTCTAGTGTACAGGGAAAACCATCATAATATTCTGTGTTCCTAAAGATGAAATGCGTAAAATTGAACATATTGCGAACACCTATTTACAAATGAGGATTAACGTAACGACTCTACTCATCATTCAATCGTGAGTTCATTAGTGCTAGCTTCACAATACTTGTTAATATTCAGCTATACCGGCTTCATTTTTATTCATTTAATATAGTCACAATTTAGTCCGCATTTATTTGGTTGAAAAACGAACGCTTTATATTAAAGTGATTGCACTTCCTCAAGCAATAATTGGAAAACTGAACTAAGATACACTGGGTGCCCTAACTCATGAAATCCAAGGAATTCTGCAAGTTAATCCCTGTTACGCAAAATCTGTCCGAGCTCTGTCTCCAAAAGTCTTACAACAGTAAAGGAACCATTCTTATTAAAAGAGGACATATCACGGTTCATCTTGTAATATTGTTGATTAGAAATACCGAATTTTTGGAAAAGCGGAAAATTTCGGTCAAGTAAAAATTCGGCGTTACTATGTATGTAGACTAAAGCTTGAAATGTAAATATAACATGTTCATGCAAAACACGGTGTGCATATAGCAGAACAAGCAAAATAAGGTTTGTCAATAATCTTTTTTGTGAAATTTTCGGATACGTATGTTTCAATATATTATGGACATTGTAAAGTAAAACAGATACTTGACAGCCCAAATTTCGAATATTTAGTTCAACATGGTTTCACGAGAATTACCAATTGTGTCTTCCGTTTGTGTATTGCTTGAGATACGCTGGACTAGAGCAATCAAATTTTCTCTTGATTTCAACGATTGAGACGCCACAGGAATAAGATATTTTCTAAGCTCCCATGTGAAGGTCCTGGTCACGGACTAATCGATATAAGTGATATGGTTAGGTAAAATCCAAAAAGGACCATTTTGTGTGCATTAAGATGCATTTCCTTCCGTCACACTTCTTAGTAACCACTTATGACGTTTGATCACGACGAAATCAAGGTCATTCTTGAAATAATGGTAAACATTTCGTGATTTTTAAAGTTTTCAGTCGATTGTCCATAAATACAGATTCTATTCTTCCTGTTTATGCAAACCTTCAAAATAAGATATTTTTTCGTAGCCTGTACATACAGAATGGCGAGTGCTGCATGAAAACTTCCGCAATTTGAAAAAGACTGGTAATCACTCGCAAACCAATATTAAGTAGGGTTAGAATACGGTTAATCATGCAATCCACGTTGAATTATTTTCAGTCACGCTAGGATGCCGACTCTGTAATGAGCTTCCTTTTGACCGCTGCAAAAAAGTTGATTCTGAAAAAAGAATCATTTTTATCATTGATTTCGACTGCGTTTATAAATTCAAATATATTTTATGGAGAGCATGCACGAAAAACTTCTCTCTTGTACTTATTTTATAGCAAATTACACCTTTTTTAAATTTTATTTTTGAAGGAAGGGTCTCGTTCGATTTAAAAAAAAAGTTACTAAATTTCCGAATGATTTTAAAAGTCGCCGACTGTGAGAACTGAATTCAAGTTTTACTAACTGAATGCTGTGTTCATCCAGTTTGAGGAAAAGAACGTTCTTACCTATGGTTTGAGGAAGTGGTTGCATGGCTCTCATATAATTTTGCAATAGACATGGATCATGCTGAATATATATCAGTGGCAGCATTAATAGATTATCCGATACGATCACGCGTTACCTCTTAGAATGTGCTTTACTGATATATTTTGACGTCAAATCTGCCTATTTTACGTTTTTTGAGGGTTATGTCAAGAAAAAATAAGAAATTTTATCTCATTGCTGACTTTCCTGTAAAGTTGTGATATAATTTCTGTTATAAATGAAATAACTCACGTTTTTGTTTACTGGAGCCGTTTTCGGTATGCTTGTTTATGTCACTTTTTGAGAATGTGGATGCATTCTTTCATACTCAAATGCGGACAAAAACTGTTTAGAAAACTGCTGGCCCGTCGCGGGTGTTTATATATATGCTTGATTAGGGTCCTCATTTTCGTTGTGGTAAAACACACTACTGCTGCACAAATTTACTGCTTAATTGTATGAGACAGAACGTGCCAGATTTGCAACCAAAATTTTAAACTCAATCCGATATTATTTTTTTCGAAGTAGAATATGATTTCTTATTCTTGCATTTATCTGATTTTAATGAAAGCAAAACGAAAGTTTAAGGTCTCTGAAAATATAGTTTAAACGTTTTTGGCTTATACTAATGTATTCTAGAACAGCCCATTTAAACAGGAGGTCTTAATCTGCACGAGTTACTAGCGTAGGAATTTACTTCCTTTGATATCCCAAAATGAACCACTTTCGTTTCAATGCACTTATCTGAATTGAAGTCCGTTCTGGTAAACAGCATTTTACACTTCAACTCCATTCAATGATATCAGCCCTCAAAGTTCGATCCTCAAAGTTACTTAGTTAGACGATCTACTCTATGTGCATCTAAAAGTATAGCCATTTCAAGTGTTTCAGGATTGACCAAAGATAGCAAATACAAAAGCAAGCTAGATGCATTTATTTATTTCTGAATATCAAAAGGCTTCTTTGCACGTTAAACGTAAATTGAGTGCGGCTTTTACTGTTAATGACTACTTCTGTTATGTTTTTGGTGATATGTTTTAATTAACATTTGGCAAACCCCTAAGGCATTTAGGGCGTTTATGCATCGAATATCCAGTCATGTCAAATAACATGTCTAGTATCGTTGCCATAAATCAAAGACATTGTTTTGTGGTGAATAAACACAGAGGAAATGCGTTCCACTTCCAAACGGAACCTATCCCATATAGGAACAAAATATGGGTC